TAATATTATACAATAATTATTTTACGGAATTCAAACTATTTATTATTATATTACATCACTATATATAGGCGCATGATGGCATATAACGCGTCATATTGATAATTTAATCGTCTCGAGTATAGTGTTTCAACAAAATACGTGAATTGTTTAAGTGCAATTGCCTGCTGAGTTGCAGCATAAGCACTCRGATGACGTGTCGAAATTAATTCGAATCACCTACATAACATTATTATTACAATTGCAGTGAATTGCATGGTATTCGTATACAAAATAATGCAAATATGAGTGCATAATATTACGTATAAAACAGGACGAGCGGCGGCAGTACAATACACCACATTTCGGTGTGCTACAAACTAGATTATCTTATATTATTACTACCCACTCAAATTATATTATACTAAAATTACGTAAAACTCGGTATTTTATAATATCATGTGTTCAACGTACTTAGATACTTCGAACGAAATTCAAACGCACATAATATGCGAAACATTAACGATAATACGACCTCGTTTTGTTCTCTAATAATACTTGCACACGATTCACGTATAAACGTGAATAAGTAATCCTACATTATTATGAATGTATGAACATTTCGACTATGTAAAAGTATAATAATAAGTGTAACGAAACCGTGATAGTCAACTATTACTGCAGTTGAACTTCCCTTTGCTCAAACATCAAAAATATTAAAAAKGTAAATAAACGCATAKAGTAATATGTCTGCATTTGAATATTTAAAAAAGGGTTTTTACTATAGCACGAATAATGAAAGTCATCAAAGAAGAATTAATACACATTTGGATTCAATACGTTTTTTTTTCTAAATTATACACTAGTTATCTATATTCTATAGCATTAATATGTTATTTTTGTGTGCTAACACGAAAATTTGTACACGTAAATGTATTTCTTGAATTATTTACTTATCATATAATATTAAAAACTTTTGTTATATATTAGATTAGCATAATTTTTTTTTTTTTTTTGTCAGGTCTTTCAGGTAATCTATATTTTTACATTAGTGAATCTGAGAAACTTCGACAAAGTGGCTGTATAAAAGAACGAAAACCATAGGATAATAATATTATGCAAGGTATTTAATAAAAATATTTTTTTTTTAGAGTAGCCTGTCATGATTATAATCACACAAAATTTTTTCAAGTTACATTATTAAACTATAAGGATAATATACTATTTGCCCTATTGACTATTATGTTAACGTTACAGAATCCATTGATAGTCTTGGACGATATTCAATCAGTAAATAAGAATCATTCAATTTAAAGAAACTAATCAGCTGATAATTATTTCAATGAAAGTATATGTGGATTACCTACGTTGTGACATAAGGCTCAGGCCTTAGTTTCGCCTATGATGATAAAAATGTATTGCATTATTGAAATTGTTTTCGTCATCACAGCAGGTAGGGTGATTATCCGATTGTTATTAGTTTTTCTTTGTGGCGATTGTTATATTCGTAACATGAATTATATAAGCAATTCAATTTATAGGTTTTTTTTTAATGTAATAATATGTATATATTTTTGTTAACGTTATTGAACAAACTCATTTTTTCTAACAAACAATTGTATTAGGTATAGCTTATTGGTAGAATATACCTACATCAATGTAAAAATATTAAACTTAATATTATCTGGCTGTTGAATGATTGTTTGGGTCGGTATTATTATTATTAGTTATAAATTATAAWAGACAAATTGTTTTTGCATTATCTTGAAAATACATTTTATCACTAATTTAGATACTATCTAACAAACAAATATAATATCATTTTATAAGTATTGTATCGGTTTTTGATAAAAATATACTTGTTTAAAAAATGTTTTTAGTGTTGCACGGATAATACTACATTTTTGGAACCTAAGCAAAATAAATTATTTAAAATCAAATAAATATCATATTGATATAGTATGATCAATTGATCTAAGTTAAATATTGGTTTAGGAGTAGTATTGTGCAAACAGATCCTCCTCTGCTCTCGGTTCTAACAAGAAGAAAAAAAAGTTAAATATTGGTTAATGGAGATTCATTTTCATAACAGAAAATATTTTTTTGAGTTTGCGTTGGTTTTCTTAAATTTTACCATGTTCTYGAAACTAACATTTTAATTAAACGTGAAGTGATATTTTATAGTACCTATTAAATTCTGATAATTTATTGATCATCAATATATAAATTAAAAAGTAGGAAGATAAATAGCATGCAATTGATGAAGATACTACAGAAAACTTTATGTTTGTTGTATATTATTACATTCGAAATGTGATCACTTCGTACAAGGGGAAAAGAGCGAACAAATTAGAAATGAGATTGGATTTTAGAAAACGTGCCAATAACTTTTCACGGGACAATTAAAGTAGTTTTTAATTTTATAAAATCTTGTCTTTGAACATTACAATGTAACTTAATTTTTTAACTTTAACATAGTTGATCAATATATAAATTAGGTACAGTATTTATTCATACATAATTAATTAAATTGTTTTACGAAGAGTGAGTGTTAATCATATTTAAAAAAAATCGACCGCAATAAAAAATGAGATATGATAATGGAATTATAGCTTGATAATAATTGTAATATCTCACTGATTTATTATTAAAAATAAAAAGGTATTTTTCACATGTTTTTTTTTATTGCTTTGTATACACATTTGACACACAGGAATAAATTAATTTCAGTCTACGAAGCTTTACAAAGCTTTAKGCGTCATAGTTGACCTAACACAAGGTACATAATATGTTATTTTAAATTTTGAAACGTTCTAAAATTTATGGTTATTTTTGTATTTGCCGAATTTGTAAAACTTTTAATCATCAATTTATTAATTAGGTTATATAAAATCATATTTATAATAATAATACATATCATATAAKTATGAATAACGGTTTTGTTTTTTCATGTCAGTTGGTTTTTTAATTAGATACTAATATATTGTTTTTAAACTTAGGCAATACGTAGATTATTGTAAATTTAAAGTATTTTATACACTTTGTACAGTTGTTTTTCTAAGGTAGATGTTTTCTTAGTATTTTGAATCGTGATAATATACCGTTATWATAATATGATATATTTTAAATTTGTCTTTAATTTGATTTTTTTGTTCTGATGGTGGTTGACTACATTTTCAAATGTTTAGCAAGAGAATCGTTAAAAAATTTGGATTTTATTCAACTAATGTAAATTTTCAAATGTGAATTATTGGTATTTTTTTTACAATTTTACATACAACGTATATTCTTTAATATATTTTACATTGGTCGAATAACCAAAAGTCGAGTTATTGATCGTAGACGCTGAGCAAGGATTTTAAACTGTGGAGAAGGAAAGAATCGGCATTATTGCATTAATATACATTAACAGATATACAAAATAATATACTATAATCGTAGACCGAAAGTGACAGGATTTTATTTTAATTTAAAATGAGCAATGGTCAGTAAGTATCAAAATTCAAAACCAAATTAACATCACGATTTTGTTTAATTTATCGCCGATCATTGAATTAAATAAATTAACACTGAAAATATTTTGTTCATATTGTATAATGTATATCCAATACAGAGTCGTTTATAAATAGAATATAAAAGATTTCAAATGAAAAGGTTTTATTTTGTTGTTCACAAAATAAATGTTTTAATTATTTATTTTTCCCTTCATTACTTTAGTTATTCGTTTAGTAGTAGTTGAACAATTAAATCAACTTAGAATGGTGTACTAAATTGTCTTATATATCTATTATAAATTATCAAATACTTAATAACTTTTTTTTYGAAATTTTGAAATTTGGTTAAACCGAAATAATTATTACTATTGAATTATTTTTTCCGCACGATTATACTATAATGTTTAACTGCTGCTACATTATGACGAGGCTGCAATTGTTGTTTAAGACTCATCGCGAGCAAAATTATTATGGAAAGTCATTGGAGAAGAACAAATCTGGAAAACTTTGAAACGAACCGCGGTGAAAGGGTGCGTGTTGTCGCGTTTTGGATTCGTGCCATTACACACAAACGCCTCGGCCTTAATGGCGTTTTAACGAATTAACACGAATCATCTAAAAGACGGTATTTCGATATGATTTTTATCCCATTGAACTGATCTGTAGAACTATTGTGTGTAGTGTGTTAGTTTACGAGAAAATAATATACCATATTATTTTTATAATACTATATTGCCGATTTAGAAGTGCACACTAACCTATCTATAAGCGTCTGATRAAGCTTTTGAGATATTTAATGATATGGATAAAATATCAGATCTTGGTCGAAAATTAGATCAGAAATGTTAACAGCTGATACTGAAACTGCCGAGATGAGTTTTTAGATTAAAAAAAAAAAAAGGTTTCGGATGTAGTAGGTAGGTATACGTTTAAAAAGAAGAAAAAGTTTGGCTTTTAAACAATTTAAATTTAAATTTAAATAATATAATAACGGTATACTCGAATTACCTGATTTACAAGAARTGTGATAATATTATTACGTTGGTCGAAATTGCATTATTATATCTTACCTGTGAACAGAAAATAAAATACAAAAGGTTAGAAAATCATTAGTAAATCTTATAAGGGTTGTAAAAATGCAATGGTTATTATTTTTCCGGTTTAGCGTCTTTTGGATTAGGCTATTAATGTCTTTTRTTAGATGTCTATACTAATTATTGCCATAAATTGATGGATAATAACCTAATCACAGAAAAGCTATAATCATTGTGTTATTTATTATTTTTTCCCCGTTTCATTATGATTATTATAAAAATAATATATTTGTTGTAATATATATACCAGAAAAGTAGTGCCCACACGCATTATATTATTCGAATGCCCTTTACGCCGTTTAAGAAAGTCTACTTCTCCTTCTCTTGCAGTCGTTCTCCGTATTTCTATACATCTACCTCCGTACGCTTCCCCTCCATCACGAGTTTTCCACTAAGCCGGAAAACCAGACCGCGTCCACAGTCAAACATTTTCACGTTTAGTTTGGTCACGTTAACTACGGTCATAAGTTCGGACATGTTTCATACGGTGGAAGACGCCAACCATAATATCTACTATTTGTCGTGAAACCCGACACAAATGGGCRTCAAGTATTTTTACTCGGTAAGAATGGAATTTCCATCACCTTTTCGTTTATCTTATTTAATTTGTTTAATTTATAATTTGTGTGCGTGTTTTGGAAACCAAAATCATTCGGAAAGACGAACCCGAAGTCATRTTGGAAAAATCATTGCGCATTTTATACGATTTAGTGTTTTCGTAAAATATCTTCGAAATATATTTTTGAGCATACGACTTTGGTTTTTCTGCTTGGTATATATATATATTTTATTGTGTGTATAAAATTCCTAGCACAATGTGAAACGAACAACCGAACAGAATGAAAATAGAAAAATACTYTCGTTTTCTACGATTGGAAAAAAGAAATCCCGTGCTATAGAAACTATCCCAACGTTTTTAACAATGGGGATGTTGTCTAGCTGTAACTYGTTAGTGTGTTTTGTTTTTACGTCCCGTCCGTACAATGCTCACAGACATTTATCGCATTCATTGCATTCTTTGCTGTTTGTTGGTTACTATAAAATATGTTGACGTTATATTGTTTGACGTATTTTTGAGAATACCGTCGGATAATTTATTTGGAATAATTTACATATTTCCTTTTTTGCACGAGTTTTATTATTATATTATTGTTATTATTGGGTGAATGTATTTTTATCAACTTACAATCTCTTCGACGTGGTAAACAAAATAATAGTAAAATTTAAAAAAATAACTATATTTTCATTCTTTTATTTTTATTAATCTAATCTAGCAGATGTWTTGTTAAATCTCAAAGATGAGGATCTTGAACTGATATGGCACCATTGGGAAATACATTTTTTTTTTAAATTGTTGGCGAATTTCGCCATGTTGAGTTTTGCTTCCAAAGTAATTAAATATTAAAAATAAAATATAATATTGCAGTCTCTATTGCATGTTCATAACACACACTAATAAGGTAATATTGTGCGACCACGAATGAAAATTRCTTTAGTATAGATACCATTAAAAACGTCTTATTATGTATCATAATTTTAGATTTATCTTAGTTATTTTTGGTAAAAAGTCGTACAGTATAATATCTGATAATTTCTGTCCAGCGAGAATATGTAGAACGTTTGACCAGAATAATTCATAACAGATACAAACACATAATAATATAGTCATTCATATATACAAGGTGTAACAGATAGAAATGAWTTTTGGACTAACTTTTTTTCATATTAATGTTAATATTAATATTTTTTTGTTCATTAAGTGAACCTAGCACTACACGCGTATAATACATTTTTTTTATGTTTTATTTTTTAGTACGGACTTCTGAAAAAAAAATTAATTTGATGAAAAATAAGTTAGATAAATTCAAAATAGCCTATTTGTGAATCTGATTATAAGAACAATTTTGATGGTAAAAAGATTAGTCAAGTAGTTTATTTTTTATAATTTTTTGGTTAAATTGATTTGGAACGCAATAACATTTAAATAATATGATTTTTGAGAATTTGTTAATATGAGTATATTTCTTAGATTTATTTATCAGATAATATTTAAAAAATTTGTCATACGATGGATTGGCGTAATTTTTTTTTTTGTCAGGTCTTTCTGTTACACCATGACATTCTAAAGCCTTAATCAATGATGATTAAACATATATCGACGCGCTAACTTTAAGTATGATTTAAGTTCACACGTGTAGGTAAATATTGTGATGTAGGTGGCTTATAAAGTTATAAACATATATTTTACCAATGGATTTTTAGGAACGATGACAGCATTTCGTCACACGTTAAAAGACGCGTAATTCGTAACAGTAGGTGCTTATCACATCGAAATAATTGTGGTATTTTGAGGTAGGAACACGGGATGAGTTACCGGTTATCACACGATTCGTTTTGGTGGGCGATGGTATAATCAAAATATATTTTATTTTGCCTTTTAGACGACATCGACGACGTGGTTTTTCAGTTAACACGTGACGTATTAAATAAAAAATATTATTTTAATGACATATAGTGTAATATCACACGTTTTTGACAGCTGTCCGCGGTTGCTTGTTTCACGGTGGTGTGCGTCAGATGTGATTTGTCGTCGTCGTCGGTCGAAGAGGAAACAGCAGCCGCGTCTTACGAGGAAACGAAAAAGTCGCTATACAACGATGACAGTGCTTTGGAGGCGACGCACGTGGATCGCGGCTCTAGCGACCGACAGCTGAAGCGGTTCATAGTTCCGGTCAGTACTTCGGATCTAGGGCTCGAGACCTCCAGTTCCAGACCATACTTCATGCACCAACATCTACAGCACTACAAACACCCCCGGAACCAGCAGCCGCAGCAGCAGCAGCAGCAACATCACCACCACCAACACCAACACCCGCAGCACCAACAGCAATTGCAACATAATCAGCAACAACTGCCACAGCAGCAGCAGCAGCAGCAGCATTCCCCGCAGTCGCAGCCACAGCACCATTCACATCAGTACTACCACCAAGGTCGGGGACAGGGAGCTGTCGATCATTTCGGGTTCGGGCCTTCGTCTTCGGGAAGCTCTGGCGGGAGTGGAGGTGGTGGCTATACAGATCAGTCAGATAATTTCTACCAGTCATTGGGAGGTGGAGGCGGAGGTGGAGGTGGCAGTGAAAACATCAACTTTGACACTACCGGATTCACAGACTTTGTGCCGTCCGTTGAGTTCCGGTCAACCGGCGCGCCGACCATGCCATCACCTTCGTCGCCATTCTCCACTTCGCCACAACACCAATCGTCGTCGCCGTTTACCGGACCGTCGGCGCAACTCCATCACTCGTCTCTATTCGACGGTGGTTCGAGTGGCGGTCACCAGCAGCACATGACGCCGTCGTTTGATCCGACTGGTTTCGGCCAAGACTCCCCTTTGGCCGGTTATGGAGGCGGCGGTGGTGGTGGTGCTGGTGCTGGYGGTGGTGGTGGAGCTTCGGGTTACGGTTCAGGCGGTTACGATTATGCACCGCACAACCTGGCTCCAGTCATTCACAAGTCGATATACGTGCATGTGGCACCTCCCGATGACGATCCGCCACGAAAACAACGCGTAATCCTGCCCAACGTGCCGCCCAAGAAGAACTATCAGATAGTGTTCATAAAGTCACCCACCGCGCCATCACCCACCGCACCCATCATACCACCGCCGCCGCCACAGCCCGCGGACAAGACGCTCATCTACGTGCTCCACCCCAAGCAGGAAGAAGCGCCGCCCATACACATACCGCCACCGCCGGTCACGCAGCCGCTCAAGCCCGAAGTCTACTTTATCAAGTACAAGAATCGCGAAGAGCCGCACGGCGGTGGTGGCGGAGATTACGGAGCCGGGCACGGTGGTGGCGGGGTGGGTGGCGTTCTGCCATCGCCGGGCGAAGAGTTTGGCGGCGGAGGCGGCGGCGGAGGTGACACTTCCGGATACGTGCACCGAAGGTACGGACGAGGAGACCAGCAGACGCCGACACCGCCGTCGACCGCCGCAGCAGCTGTCTCCACCATCGCCGAAGCTGCCTCCACCGAACACTACGACGACGGCGATGGTATTATGACGCCGGAACAACGGGAACTAATCGAGGCTGAGGTGACATCTGAAGCCGCCACCGCCGCAGCCTCCATGTCCGGCGCAGTAGACTTAGATCCAGAGACGTCCGACGAAAGCGCCGACGAACTGATGCTCCGGGGCGGTTACAGTACAGAGTACAACGACGCGTCCGTCGACAGCACAAATCTAAGCGAGACTCACGTCCAGCTGTCCACCACAGCACCCAAAGGCAAAAACGGCCATTGATGTATACTATAATTATATATTATTTTAGTTCATTCGTGTAATCGCGTATACCATAGGTTAGGTTAACTAATAATAATATAAATAACATGTCCTCAACTGTAAAATATATAAAATGCATTATCATAATAATCGTGTAAGATAGGTATCGTATTTTGATATACCTAACGAGTTTTCTGTATTCAATTTGATGTGTAAAAATATATTACGATATTGTAATATTGTACCTTACTATACGTACTGTTATTATCAATATAGTTATGATGAGTTTTTATCGAAGCCATTTTTGTAAGTATTATTTACGTCTTTAAAATAAGTATCTGCCTACGTCAAACTGAAGATAAAAATGAACATATTACAACTAGTTCCCTGTATGGCGGTAAACAATAATGTGTATGAATATTTCAATACGCAGTGCTCTCATAAGTTATAAAAAATGATTTATGCATCGTCGTGACAGAGCGTGTTGAAAACGGTTTAAGGAATAATAATATTTTACTGCCTACTTACCTGCAAAGTTTTTATTATGCACACAATTTTAATTTTATGGGATTTTTAAGTAATTTTTAAACGGTTTTSGTGTTGCTCATCATATAAATAAATCACTTAATACATTTTTATGCATTTTTCATGATAAAATATATTGACTTATAAAAAGTAAAATTATTTTGATTGACAGTTTTCATGAAATCTTGGTTGTGGTTTAGTATGGAATAATTATCACCTCCTTAAAATAAACAAACGTTGAAAATTATTATCGACGATTAGGAATGACATAATTCCTCATAAATGACATAATTCATCATTAATGATAATAATCTTAAATTAATTTATTTATAGAACATCAAAACTATGGTAATGGTGCCTATGTACTCCATAGTAAAGGTTCAGAAACTGAATATAATATTCGAAGCGTTTGCATCAGCATTTGTCGTTATAAAATTATTATAAACATAAATTATTACAAAAAAAATCAGGTTCACACAGTTAAGTATTTAGAATTGGTGTTGTTTAACAAAATCATGTAGAAAACGAACATTGTATTTTTCCGATAAATTGTTTCGTTTTTGATACCAGCAGGATACTCAAAATATAATATATATTTATATTTGATTTAAACTCCATCGTATAAAAATTAAATCATTGTGTTTACTATTAATCTATGTTGTATACCTAATAACTTATGTACTAATGTACTTCCTACATTCAAATATTAAATAAATATCGTTTAATGGATTTTATATTTTTTAACGTATTATTGTTTAGTACCAGTGATTTTAATTTATTTTTAATTCTAAAAATAAACAAGTTTTTACTAAAAGTTTCAAACTTTATGACACCATCGTATTTAATTTAATAGCACCAAAAGGTTAAAAAATGTATTTTATAACCTATATTGTAAGATGTACAATTTGGTTCAATGTGCAATTTTATAAATCCACACCAATATTACATATTATTCGGTCTTTAGAAGAGATGAATAATAAAAAAAATTATTTCATACTATAAATAAAGTTAAAAATTGGGTTTAAACGAGTAGTACCTTTGCTTGAAGTTGCTTTCCTCAAAATTGTCAATTGTAATATAAAAATAAATTTTCATTACAATCCACTATTTTTTTCTAGTCAAATATTTCGTTAAAGCATCTAATAATTTAGTTATGCAAATTAAATATTTAACAACAAGCTTATAATGTAATAAAAATGTGCATAAATTAAAAAATACGAGGTCCCGGACATTCTCAAAACGTACCCAAGAGTTAAATAAATAATAATTATAAATAATTAATAATATAGTTTTTTCGTTTAGACATCGTTGTGAATAAAACATATAGTGGCAATTGTAATTACGTATAACGAGGCTGAACTGATTGAATATTTTTTATGTGCAATGTGATTGAATATATATCATTAAAAATTCGTTATGGATTAGATTTAGAAAAAACATTACAAAATTAGGTCGTCCATCAAAAAAGTGCTTAGTTAACAACTAGTTATAAATGTCTTTTTGAGCGTATTTCGAAATAATCCATGGATTAGTTTTAGTATTTTTTTTTCAAATCAACGTTATATAACGTCATAACGTTATTATAAAAAGATCATAAAATTATTGTTATTGTAGTTATTCAATAATTTAATCGTGTTTAAGAACGAGATTTTACTATACAAACCCTGCGTATTATTGAGAAATATTAACATATTATTTAATTTCTATACTTTAAACAGATTACATTTTAACAGTTATCAATATTTGATATAATGTACAGTATTAATACTACTATTAGGTATATAAAAGTATATTGAATTAAACGTAAATTATTTTTTAAATTCTATAAGCTGCCAGTAAAAATAATATCGAACGATCTGATGAACGTTAATTAATAATTTGGACGTGAATCGATATTTCATTATAGTCGTATTTTAGATTTATACAATGTATTAGGACAATAAATCATCTTTTATTCAGGTAAGTAGGTATAAGTATTATCCCTGTTATCATTAAATATATTATATAACATTTTAATTTTTAGTAATATAGGTATGTCAATTTTTTTTTTCTTAATAAATCATTCTTAGTGGTTACAAATTACATGCAATTTAAAAATAAAAGCAGGAAATTCTTTGAATTACGATGAAAAATTATATTTTGTGTTAAAAAAATATTGCTTTAAATTTAATCTAAAATATTTAAATGTTTAATAATAACTTTTTCTCAAATTGCTTAGATAAGTACTAAGTGGAAATGGAAAATTTATTTTTCAGACAACACGACCTAGCTTTAAGATTTATCTTTTACAATTTTAAGACATATATAGAATCCTTTAGAAGATTGTCGGAATGTAGGAATGTAGGATTACCTACTTGTATAAAAACTTTGGTTCCATTCCGATTTAATGATTTAGAGGTCTAATGTCTTTATTGTCTTTATACCATATAAGGTCATATTGTGATTACTCGTGATCTAGATTAGTGAATAATTTTGTAAGTAGATTATTATTGCCAGATTATTATTAATATAATGGAGTTTTGCATTTAATGTTTTAATTAATATAGAAAATGACCTAAATATATTAACGTTGATATTTTTTAGTGTTAATTAAAGTGTACCTATTTGCTTTTCTAAACATCACATTATACATTTTTTATTTTTATTTAATTTTTTAGAAACCGGTCCATGGCCCGTTTTGAAACATAAATAATAAATGTAAAAGTGATTTTTCAAAATATTTAATCTTATAAGATTTCATCTAAAAATAACAGAAAGCTTTTAAACTTAAGTATATTCTATTTTAATCAAACTTATATTTAAGAAAAAAAACTTATAAGCATAAATTAATATATTTAAAAAAATTTTCACTCAAATACTCTTCATTAAAAAACAAAAAATTTACTCATTTGTCTGTTTCCTTCACTCGGGATTTTTTTTATTTACTCCTAAAATGTATAATGTTACATCGATTTGTTAATTTTAATTAGTCTTTTTTGGGGATTATTTAGTTATGATTTATATTCTATATTAGACATAACATTAATATTTCATAATTACTAGTCAATTAAACATTATTACTATAGAGTWAAATTAAAATATAATTGCATTTTTGCATTTTTGTTTAATAATTTTTTGCTTGTCTTTCAATTTTCTTAGGCACGACAGAAAGTTAAAATATAATTGCATTTTTGCATTTTTGTTTAATAATTTTTTGCTTGTCTTTCAATTTTCTTAGGCACGACAGAAAGCTCCATATATAGGCACATTGCGATTATTTTAGAAATAATTAAAAATAATATCGGGATACGGAAAACGTTGTACTTGTCATCTTAGCATTTATCACTGCAAATAATACTCACTTTGAACAAAAAAAAAAACCTAATAAAATCAAATTTGAGTATATCACCTTTAAACTGTGGTATCACAATTCAATTTATTAATGAAATTATAATGACAATACAAACAACAAAACCACTATAAATTGTAATTATAAAACCTAACAACCTTTCTTGTGTTTATTTTTCTTTTTCAAATAAAAGATCTTATAGTTATTTATCGGGTTGTAATTGTAAAAGTTAAATTAAATAACTCAAATATTATCAACTCACAAATTATCCCAGTTCTAAGACCATAAGGAAGTAAAAAAAAATAATAAGTAGATACTTAAATTAAATAATAATAATAATAATAATAATAATTTCTTATACTCTGCAGGTTTTACATCAATTTTATCGCTATCAGTCAAATAAGCTATTGATTGTAATCAAAATCATAGATATGTGCTGAAGATCATGATTCCACTCAGTGCCAAGAAGACCGAGTTTTATATGTAGTGGCTCACATCCAGCTAATTACAAAGGTTGCCAACCTCTTTCTAATTCATGCCAGTTGACCAGAAATTATAATTAATTAACTGTTTGAAATCTTACATTCAAAATCAAGTAATTTTTATGCGGTACTCATTTTTTAAACAAATGTCATTACTCGTTATAATAAAATCAGTATTCTAAAAATAGATTATGATCTAAGATTCGTCGGGAGATTTGTCGAATACCTTATTCCAAGAGCAATTGATCACCAAGTCTATAAAATTTCTCTTGAATTAGTATGTTTTTATTTAGAAGTATGAATAATGAGGAACCAAGTTTTACATTTAACTAAATAATAAAAACGTGATCGTGTTGACATATTTCATGAGATGTCAGTACTTCAAATTCATTACGCCATTGTGATATTTTATTGATTTTTAAAAACTTGGTTCCGAAAAACCATGTTCAATATTTAACTTAATTTTTTACACTTAACTATAAATAGTTATTTATTTTATTGAAAAAATACCAAGTGGAGTTTATGTATTCAAATCTAGAAAACTAGAAAACATAAATAATATAAAATTGTTGAATAGTTCAAAATGTAATACATTTCAAGATTATAAATAATTTTTTTTTTTTGATGTTTAGCATTGCCGTTTTACATTAGACAAAGGGTTAGCATCCATCTTGTTTACATTGATGCAAAACTCAATAGTAAAGACTATATCAAATAAAAACAACTCCTTCAATTCAAATCGCATATACATCACACAAATGACTCTTATTATAGTTGTAGCATATGAATGTGTTTTCTGTTCTATTTGAATTTATGGTGTCAAGCGTATACTAACGGTTCAAATCATCCAATATATATGTATAAAGATCATTGTCAAAATATTTGTGCATTACATATACAATCTGCTTTATGATGACATATGTTAGACAAAAATTCAAAATGATTATAGAAACGGCTTCAAATGATACCATGACAATCTACTCACGTCTCAATTTGCACTTAAAACGCCTTTTGACCATTATTGAAGTTGACGGCTTAATTGGGATTGATACAAAGACATTTTTGAAATATAAATAATAATAAAATAATTCATATGGTTTTGGTCGGTATTTTTCTACGACAAATCATCTTTGATGTCAATCTATTTAGATATTTATACTAAGAAAATATAAACACTTAAATACAACTGCAGCTCTGTATAATT